CTTCCCCAGTTTGTTTGTTTGTTTGTTTCTTTCTTTCTTTCTTTGTTTCTTTGTTTCTTTGTTTCTTTCTTTCTTTCTTTCTTTCGATTTCTATCAAACACATGCCTTCCTTTCTTCCCCAGTTTCTTTCTTTCTTTCTTTCTTTCTTTCTATCACCACCATGACTTTGTTTGTTCTCCCCCCAGTTATTAATGAAACAGTTCGTGTCTGTGACCTCTGATAAGAGACGAGATGCTAAAAATAAGTTCTTTTCGCAGTTTCAGGGAACACTGAGAGACATTAGGGTCGATGCTGAAGCCAAGGTCTGCATCCAGAGCAGGGAACATCACAAAACACCCTGCATTAGCACGTTAGCGCTGACTTAATGCTAAACACAATTAATGAGGTGTATGTGCTGGACTTGTGTACTTGGCTGAGTGTTTGTTTGACATTAAAGTGTCACGCCGGTGTGTACTCAAGCCTGGATGCTGTAGAAGCGTGTGGGACGATGGCACTGGGGATGTCATCTGAGGATTGGGAACTGGACAAAAGGTGACGAGGTTGAGTCGGTTTATCTGAACAGCGCCAACCTGAATCAGGCGCTTCCCAGTGCGTAATGAGTAAATATTTGCAAGGCGAGTAAACACTGTGGATGTTTTGGCTGCCAGAGAAGCAGAGGGGTAAAACGTCTGGCCTTTTTCTTTGTTTTTGTTCCCTAGACTCAAATTAGCTTTAATGTTTATATGTTCTTGAGACTCTGTGAGATTAAGCGTTTTTATTTTTACACTCTAATTATCTCACACTCACATGGATCACGCCGTCCTTTTTTGGCTTGAAGAGGCTTTTTACGCAGAAGTCGCATTACAGTATATATTTGTCTTGGAAAAAGATTGAGGCACTTCAAAAAGGTGCTAACATCTTGTTCAAACATCATTTACCTCATGAAGTGTTCTTGGAAGTGTGTGTGCGTGTGTATGTGTGTGCTCATGGGATTTTATGTGTATTCCAGTATGTCTGTTCTCTGCCTGTATGGCTTGTTTAAGTAACAGAGAGGTTTTTTTTTTTATTCCCAGACATTTGACACAGAGAACAGAACCTACAGTACTGAAAACAGAAGAGCAGTCCTTTCATAATCTGTATCCACTGGGTCACATGATCTCCAGGCACGTACACACAGTTTCATACCACAGCGCCTCTCGTTGATTTCTCGAACGCGATTGGTCAGAAGGTGTTGATCCTGATTTGATTTTCTGTAACAGCAGCTATGACACAGGTTTATATTAATGCACACATGTGTATAATAATGTGTCATATAGTTCCTATAGTAACTTCAACGGCTTTAAAAAGCCTACAATCGCCGGCCACTTTATTAGGAACACCATGCTAATGCTGGGTAGGACCCCAGTTTGCTCTCAGAAACAGCCTCAGATCTTCACGGTATCGATTTCCACAGGGTGCTGGAAACACTCCTTTGAGTCCATGTTGACATGATTACATCACAAAGTTGGTGAAACTTTTTCAGCTACACAGTTCATGTTGCTAATCTGATAAGATGGTAAACTGTGGCCATAAGGGGATGCACATGGTCAGTGAGGATACTCAGATAGGCCGTGGTGTTCAAACCATGCTCGATTGGTATAACGGCACTCAAATTTTGCCAAGAAAACATTCCCCACACCATTACACCACCCCCACCAGCCTGAACTGATGACACAAAGCAGGGTGGGTCCATGGATTCATGATGACATCCATGTCAGCAGTAACAGGAGTGGAACCTGATGTGATCTGCTGCTGTTGTAACCCATCCGCCTCAAGCTTTGACATGTAGTGCATTCGGAGATGCTTTTCTGCTCAGTATGGGTGTAAAGAGTGGTTATTTGAGTTACTGTAGCCTTCTTGTCAGCGTATACCAGTCTGGTCGTTCTCCTCTGATCTCTCTCATCAACAAGGTGTTTCCACCCGCAGAACTGCTGCTCACTGGACGTTTTTGTTTTTCGCACCATTCTGTGTTAACTCTGTCACACTGTCATGTGAAAATCCCAGCAGCTTCCGAAAAACTCAAACCTGTTGATCTTGCAGCAACAAAATTGCATGACTGGGAAGGTGTTCCTAATAAAGTGGCCAGTGAGTGGATAAATGTTGATATGGTGAAGTTTATTTAGAATACATGGAAGCACCTTCCTTCCTTCCTGCATGGCCTCCTTCTTTCTTTCTTTCTTTCTTTCTTTCTTTCTTCTGCTCTTGCTGTACTGTTTTCTGCCCTTTTATTTATTTGTATATCTTTTTCTTCCCTACTGTGTTGTACTTCTCTTTGTTCTGCCAGTACTCAGGATGAGTTCACTGACCCACTGTCATTAGTACGTTTCCAGTAAAGGCTATATAAATAGTGCGTATAAGAAGTCTGCATCTGCGTTACTGAAACACAACCTCACACATGTGCACAGTAGTTTTATGGCTAATGAGAAGGTGAAGCGCTGTGACGCTATGACGCTAGCAGTGAGAAGCTGCCAGGAGCGTAATATCTTCCTCTACCATGTTACCATCTTCTTCCTTTTTTGGCTCAGTTGATTAAGTGCAGTGTGTAAGATGTATACATGAGATAGATGTGGAGATGGAAACTCTCTCTCTCCCTCTCTTTCTCTCTCTCTCTCTCACCCTGACCCAGTGATGAGCCCAAAAATAACCTCACATTGTTTTTCTTATTATTTACCATGTATTACCAGATACATGCATGAGATGTAAAACATGATACGATATGACATGATAATGTAAAAACAAACACATGATTACCTGAGTGTGTGTGTATGTGTGTGTGTGTGTGCTGTGTTGTTTTCATCTTTCAAGTATTATTCTTTCTTTCTTTCTTTCTTTCTTTCTTTCTTTCTCTGTGGATTTCTTTCATTATTTTTCATTCATTTTCTTTTCTTATTTCTGTATCAGTGTGTTTATTTCTTTCCTTTTCTTCTTTTGTTTTGTTTTCTTTGATTTCTTTCTTTCTCATTGTCTTTCTTTTCTTTTTTCTTTTCTTTGGTTATTTCTTACATTCTCGTTGTCTTTCTTTTCTTTGTTCATTTCCCCCTTTCTATTGTTATTTCTTTCTCTCCCAGTATCTTTCTTTCTTTTCTTTTCTGTGCTTTCTTATTTTCTTTTGTGTTTTTGTTGTTTCTTTTACTCAGTTTCTTTCTTTCTTTCTTCTTTTCTTCCTTCCTCCCTCTATGGGATTTACTCTTTAGGCCCACGCTCGCTGTGCTGAGCCATGTCAGGTCAAACACATCCCACCTCGTTTAGTTTAGCTAGGCTAATAATAGCCCTCAACAGTCTAGCGCGTTCTTAAACAGCTCCTCTCACACTTCATTACTCTGTGATGTGGCACACGTCTTCCAGGATTATAACCTGTTCTCTAAAGAACCCGCTGCTCTCCCTCAATCTCCTTCCTGCTTATTACTTACTCGACAAAAGCTTACATAATGTCTGTTATAGCAAGCAGCACTTAATTAGCATTTCCATTTACAGCTTTACAGTAGAAAAGTCCTGGCTAGTTCCTTCAGGAAGAATGACTATGCTCCAGTCCAGGCTTAAATGCTCCAACTCTCAGCATTTATAGCAAAATTTATGAAAAACAGAGTTTATTACTGAACCACCGGCACTTCAGATTCACTCCAACCATGTATTTAGCACTGTGATGCTAGCGGCTTTGGATGTGAGGTAAATATCTTTCGACTGATTCCAATACAAATCAAACCACAGTTATGGAGCACTCAGTGAACTCCTAATCCAGAGTTAATTAGAAGCTGTTTATTTGCATGCTGTTTGAACAGGAGTGTTTTGGCGAGCAGGTTAGCCGCGTGGGAACATCTCGCTGCAGGAGCAGCGTGAATTCATGAATGTTGGAAACTGATCCTCCAGCTCGGCATGCTTTTGGCTTCCACCAGCACTAAAAGTGTGAAGGTGTAAATTCATGAATCATCTTTGTATAGGAACGCAAAAGATCCTGGATTAGCACTTCATCTGTCAGTGCAAAAGCTTAAGAAGACATTTGGAAAGGACGCTTCTGGATGCTGATTGGTCAGAAGGTCTGGATTCATTTTCTGTAACAGCAGCTGCAAATCTCAGGTTTATATTAATGCACTTGTTCTAATAATTTATCGTTTCCATAGTAACAGCTTACACAGAGACTTGTATGATGTAATTATTTCTTTTTTTGTGAAAAATTATTTCCCACTGATTCATTATTGATTTCAAGTCATTCACTAGTGATTCACCTATGATTTACTGTTGGTTCTTGCTTCACATGATGAGTGTGAGATTGTGTATATAAACATCAATATCACAAACCAACACTGTGTTGGTTGATCTGAGTTGCTGGGATCTGAACTTACAACTTTCCGATCAGTAGTCCAAAGACCAATGTTCCCTGAGCCCCACTACCTGATACTGATACATCATCAGTGGGGTACTGATACACAACTGATACATGTTTGATTCACCATTGATGTGTTATTGAATCTCTATTGATTCACCATTGATTAATCATTCTTTTCTATGTATTGACTATTGATTACCATTGATTACCAATACCACTGAGTCACCATTTATTCATTATTGATCATTGAATGTATATTGATTCACTATTGAATTACAATTGATTCATTATTGATTCAGTATTTATTGGCCATTAATTCTTCATTTAATCTATATTGAATCGCCACTGATTCTTTACTGAATCTCTATTGAGTCCATTCTGATTCACCGTTCATTTACCATTTTTTCACCATTGATTCTTCATTGACTCTCTATTAATTCACCTTTTGATTCTTCATTAAATCTCTATTGATTCACCATTGAATCTCGATTCAATCACTTTGATTATTGAAGCCCTATTGATTCCATTTTGATTCAGTGTTCATTTACCATTTTTCACCACTGATTCTTCATTGAATCTTTATTGACTCTCCATCTCATTTATACAACTGAGCAGTTGAGGGTTAAGGGCCTTGCTCAAGGGCCCAGCAGTGGCAGCTTGGTAGTGCTGGGATTTGCACTCACGACCTTCCAATCAGTAGTCCAACATCGTAACCACTGAGCTAGCACTACCGTCATCCTCATTCTGTATCTTACGTACGTCAGTTGTCGTGGAGCAGTTCAAGTTGTTCATAACACACACCACCGTAATGCCAGATCTGACATTCGTGGAGCGCAGCTCCGTCTCTCGAAGGCCACAGACACGCGGCGCCCTTTGCTCTTTTGTGTTTCCTGTGTGTGTGTCCTGGTTGCTATAGCAGAGTCTTTGCCAATATGGATCTGGCAGAATAGATGGAGGCAGGTGGAGGTCTGCTGAGTGTACAGCGATGACACTGGTGCTCTGTGTGTATGTATGTGCATGTGTGTGTGTATATGTGTGTGTGTGGATGTGCAAGGACCAGTTACCGTAAGGTAGAGACCTTTCACCACTCTGTTGTCATGGTCTCAGTATTTGTGGATGGCAAACACATGGAGAAGTGGTAGCGGGGATTTGATTTGTTTATGCGTGTGTATTTGCGGGACATTTCATGTGTTCACGTGTTCAGCAATGAGACAATATTTTCCTACATGTCTTTTTTATGCTGGTGAGCATTCTTCTGCATGCGTCTCTTGTTTTGCCGCACACTGTAATGATTTAGTCACAATTTTGCTGTCAAGGATAAATGATGTCCGATAAACGCCTTCTGAACGTTGCGTAGTGTGAGCAGTGTCACAATCCGATCTACACAGCAGAAACCATCAGACAGTTAGCATCGTCAGTTACTGTGCTGTTGTCATTGTGGTGTGGTTGCTTGGCAACCAGATTTACATGCTATAGAGTACGCATGATGAGTTTCACAATCAACGTTTGTCCCTAGCTTTCTTCCTTTATTCCTTTTCCTTCCGTCTTCCGTCCTTCTTTCCTTTCTTCGTTTCCTAGTGGCTTCTTTCTTTCTTTTCCTTCCTTCCTTCCATCCTTGTGTACTGAGAAAAGGTGCGCTATAAATTAAACTTAGATGAGCTGTGAAATAACAAAAGTGATGGGAAAAAAAGAAAAACACACACAGTAGCTAACCCTCTTCACCTTTACTCAAATGAGCACCACCCCTGAGCCAAACCAGTCACATGCTCGTGCTATTCCAGGAGCTCTTTCTCCTGTGTTAGATGTCTAGTGGGACCAGTAAAGGACCTTCTCAGTGACAGGAGTTCGACCTTCACTCTGACCTTCACTCTGACCTTCCTGTCCTGGCCGTCTCTATTCTGAGTGCTGGAATCTGCTCTCTTCTCTCCCTCTGTGTCCTGCTTTAACACTGAAGCTTTATGTCTCCGTTCCGGTCGGTCATGTCTGTTACTCTCGCAGAGAGATGAATGTTTCAGAATTAATGGCTTCAGAAAGGTAAAATTATCTGACAAACGTCGCTGGGAATGTGTATGAAAATAGCTGACAGAGCTTATCAGTGTAACTAATGACTCGAGCAGAATCTGTCAGTGATTTGTCGAGCAGAATACACACTGCTGCTCGGGAATCTGGGTAAAAAAAGGAGCCATTGTAGCTTTAAGGATGACCCCATGTGCCATTTGATGAATCCAGAACTTCTCTCGCAAAAATAAAATCTGTGTATAGTATAGTATAGCGTAGCATAAAGTCAGAAATGTCTCCATCACATACTTATCCTCATGCGAGTATGAATAATTCAGGGTTTAAGAAATAAAGTAAACCTTTAATGATAATCTGGGCAAAAAAACATTTTATACACATACACACACAAAAGTTAACTGCTAAAAAAACATCTTATACACATACACACAAAAGTTAACTGCTAAAAAAACATCTTATACACATACACACAAAAGTTAACTGCTAACAGCTAACAGCAGTTAACTTTTACATCCGAAAAACAAATCGCCATGATTTTCAAATTGCATCGGAAATTTGTTTTGGACTAGCGATAGCTTCAGAATTCACGACTGAATATCTCGCTGCCTTTTTAAACAGTACGCATTTGTCGCATTTTACATTGTATTTGTAAACCATTTTTCTCAAAATCTGAGCTTTTTCTGTATTCAGAATAATATATATCTCTTTTTCTAGATATGAAGCATTACACACTCCTTCCTGAATCTAACCATGGGGGTCACAGTCCAGTGACCTCTGTGCCGGCCCCAAGCCCGGATAAATAGAGAGGGTTGCGTCAGGAAGGGCATCCGGCGTAAAACGTTGCCAAATTTAATCATGCGAATCATGCGAATCATGCGAATCATGCGAATCTGTACACACTCCTTCCTCAATATCTCATTATTTCAAATGAATAAATCATTATTTCAGAAATGATATCATTATTTTGACTTAATATAATTTGGACATATTCATATTATCTCAATTTTGACTCAATGCCTCATTATTTTGAGTTAAAAACTTGTGATTATGTCACTATTTTGACTTAATATCTAGTTATTTTGACATATTCATATCGTCTCATAATTTCGATTAATGTTTTACACCCAACAATCTATCAATACGACTAGTTCACTGAAAGTGAAGAAATAACGACTTCAACATTTTTTCCACAACTTGCTTCTAGTATTGTTTGTTTTTTTATATAATAAACAAAATTATAGCTAGCTTTCGATGTTCAATAAGTGTTAGTTAACATGTGGAGTCAAAATACAGATAGTAGCAAGGAAGGCCACCTTGCGCATACTCTGCATTCTCACATGGAAAATGCTTTCCATAGATCTTAAAATAGACCGAAAACATTATTAAAATGTCCAAACAGGATTCCCTGTCCTTCCCGTTGGCAGATATTAGCGCTCTTTATCTATGGTTACTGTTGGTCTGTTGTTGTGATGGAATTCTGCTGACTAAATATACTCCAGTACAGGGTCTTATCTTGGAATATAAGTGGAATCCGGAATCATGGGCGGAACAGAGACCTAATTCATCCATGCCTGCTCTCTGACAAGCTTTTCCTGTCTTTCCTTTTCTTTATTGCTTCTCTGTGTCTGATAATACTTTCGAGAACCCCAGAAACAAGGGGGCATGTTGCTGACGCTGTGTTCGGGAATGTGTTTGCCAGGCTGGGATCTAGCCTAACAGATCGGTGTTTTGGAATTTAAGAGGAAGCCTGAATATGATCGTGGCCCGAACACGGCATTGTTCACAAACATCCCACACCACAGGAAGCTGTGACACCAGCAGGAAGCAGACACGTCCTGCTGCAACAGACACCAATAACAGCAGGAAAATGAGCTTAATGCAAACACACACACACACAAATGCATTCTCTATTGTTGAACTTTCATCCCTCTGGTATTTAACGCTCATTGAGTAAGCAGTGGCTCATGGCTATTGAGTATCCGGCAGTGTGTGTGTGTGTGTGTGTGTGTGTGTGTGTGAGTACTAGTTTTGGTTGCTAAACAATGCAGCAGTCAGAGGAAGGGCCTGATACGGATATGTAGGTGTAAATGACGTTATTCTGTAATGTCCTGGTTCAGGATGAATTATAACTGATCTTCAGTACATTTCAATGTACTGCAGTGTCGAGCGATTCACAAATACATCCTATTACCTCATAGTAGACAAATATTTATTTCTTATAAGAAATTACTCTGAATTACAACAAGCAAGAGTTATGCAAATTGGTGCAATGGGGTCAGCATTTAGGATTTAACACATTTTATTTTTTTTCACTATTAGTCATTGTCATCTCCAAACCAATACCGAGTTCCCTGCTATCACATGAGTGTGACCACTAGGGGAAGGTGAATGTTAAGGCTGGCAATTGCTTCCTCTGAGAAATGTGAAGCCAGCGAGCTTTTGCTCATGCTACGTCACAGTACAGCTCGGAGGAAAGTGCTGTCTGCCCTCTTCCACATACATGAGCTCACAGATTTGCTTTGATTGACAGCTGAGTAAGCAACATCATCCTTCCCACCCAGAAAGCACGGCCAATCACTCTCGCTCAGACTCCTAGACACTGATCACTCACGCCACTGATGACATTACCTCAGTTATTCATTTACAGATGAAACCTAAAGTCACCACATGAACTCATAAAATATCCTGCTGATATTTTTATTCAGCACAACAGCTTCAGATTGGGTTTGGCTCGGCAACATGGTTTCCTCCTCTGTCCGAATCTTACCAGCTCCAGCCTGCGAGCTTTGTTTGCACCACCCATTTCTGTTTAAAATTATTATTATTATAAAAGTGGGTCGCTCCATTGTGAGATCTTTTACCCTCGGGAGAAAGAGGTCACGTCCTGCGTCCTGCTCTCACACACACTCAGCCACAATGTGAGGAAACTGAGACCCAAACATTCACAGCGTCTCAGAGAAGTCGCTCGGGAACGTGTATTGTGCTCAGGTAGCTGATTTTGTTGAAGGTAGATGGAGAAGAAAGAAAGGAGGGAGAGAAACGGAAAAGTATGAGGAGGAAGCATGATGCAAAAGGGCCGGAATAACAGGAAGGTAATTACCCAAGTTGCCTTCTGTAACAGGAAGCAGGAACAGCACACAGTTAAAGGTTGAGTTGTCAAAATATTAAAGTTAGTGTTTTGGTGGGTGTGGTGGCTCGACACGAAGCGGAGTTACTATTTCACCCCAAAGTTGATTATTCTCTTATAAAAGTGTTGTCTCTTATACAACAGAAATTCTTTATTCATTAATAAGAGAATATAATTTATAGTTATATTTGATGTTGTGGAACATCCAGAAAACAAGTTAGTTCCTGGTATCGCTTATAGTACAGCTTAGACTTTTTTGTTAAGTTGATTAGACAGAAAGACCCACATGTTACCAAGAAACCACAAAGAGTAAACTGAGGACTTTCTGACACTGGAGACTCCTTCCATAAATGTTAAATAAACATCTCCTTATTAATAATTATACAGTTTCCTTTGTGGAAAAAACAACACCACAGTCCCTGTAAATTAGTGGTTACTGTAAAAACGATAACCTGCTATTTGCAGCTGCAATACTGTCAATGCTGTTGTTATAGAAAAATTTATTAACACCTTCTGACCAATCAGAGTTGAGAATTCAACAGCGTTATGGTATGATTTGTTTGGAAGTAAATACGTTTGTTAATGCTTG